CCAGATGGAGCAGAGAAAGCTGATTTGGTATGCAATGCACCTGCCGGGACAGGCTAGGCATTCTCTATGCTGGAAGGAGGACCCATTGGATGTGCCAGAGACGGGTGAACACCGTCTAGGGCTCAGCATGGAGGGTGTGTGTTGGTTTGTAATCCTCCTGGGAGCTTCTTGGGTATAGTTTGAAACCAGCCCCTGTACTCGGGGCAGGGAGAGATGGAAGGAGGAGGCAGCCAAGGAGGTTAGCCGGTGGCAGGTATAATAAGCAAAGGGGACGTACCAGGCTTGTCTTGGACAGCAGCAAGATGAAAGTGTCCCTGCACCTCCCCGCCACATCTGAAAAGTTGAGACCTTCACAGCTTCTAGTCACATATGCCGTGCAGGTGTTTTCAACACCACATCCCTATCTCAAGGCTCTATCCTTGGAGCAGCCTCTGGGAACAAGAAAGCCAAGTGGAAACCATGTTCCAAGAACAGGGGAGGGAGTGAGGAGCCTCCAAGCGCTGGGGCCCAGCTCATGGGTCAATTTTTGATGACCGTCCCCAACAGGGTGATCCCCCTGATGGGTAGAGGGAACGCGTCATCTCTTCAGAGGTCCGGGCAGGTGTTGGCATTAGGAAAGTCAGGCATGTGGTGGGTAACGTGGTGGGTCCTGTGCTCGGTTTTAGAAAAGAACCTGGCTCTAGAGGAACCAGGGTACTGGGAACCTCACAAGGCCAGGAATGGGGTCCAGAAGAGCATGGGAGAGAACCAGCTCCAAGAACAGGCCAGGCCTCTCCTCTGGGCTCCCTCAGCTCCTGGGCCTACTGACTGTATTGTAAGTGCAATTCTATGGAGGCTCCTGTCAGCCGCATCACCCGTGGGTTCCTAGGGGCCAGCACCATGTCTTAGTTATCTCTGTGCCCCTGGTGCCCTGCAGGGTGCTTGGCACGCAGCGAGTGCTCAGTGAGCATGTGCTGAAAGAACAGGGGACTCAGTGAGGAGCCCCCCAACATAGTGAACCAGAGCTGCTTGCTCAGAACCAGGCTGGCCCAGAGCCTGGATGAGCAGTCTGTGAGTGAGGTGTGGGGCTGAGATCCAGGCGTGCCCCAGGCTTCACGGTCCTCTGGATGGGTTGTTGTGGTCATGGCTTCTAGAGGCGGGAGAAGGAAGGGGATCACTTTGTTTCGATCAATAATTAGACAAAAGTAAATGAACACTTGTGTTTTAGGGGGCTCGGGAAATGAGTGTGGCCTGCTTCAGCGTTTGATTCCTTCCAAGCTGTCTTCCCTCGTGCCGTGATTTTCACCGTGAGTTTTGCCACCCAGAGGAGCGATGTCACTTAACGCCTCCCTCCCTCAGCTTCAAGTAGGAGCCCAGGGCCCCAGAGTGTTTGTCTGTCACGTGGCCCAGAAGCACCCCAGAGCCCCATGGTGAGAGGAGCCGGGGCGACAGACGGCTCTTCTGTAGGAAGAAGATGCGCAGGCTTGCAGATTTTTCCCAAGCAGCTGAATGACCTTTCTGGAGAAATCACTGCCTGCAGAACCAACATACAGCATAACATGCTATCAACCTCTTGCAACGAAAAGGCCAGCCAAGGTGTCTTGATACTATAAGAAGCTGAGAGCTTGGCTACTTGCTCCTTAAGCCTATTTCCTCTTGTTCCTGGGAGAAACTCAGCTGCGTGTCCCAGCCTCCTTTGCAGTTAGGTGTGGCCTTGTGGTTGCGTTCTAGCCAAAAAAGTGGGAGCGAGAGTGGTGCAGGCTGCTCCCAGGACTAGCCCACAGAACTAGCCCACAGAACTCTGCCATTTTCAATCCTCCATGTACCCCTTGTGAACCCTAGTCCCCAGAAAGCCAATCCAGAGAGGCCACTGTGCCGCTCAGGTGTATGGCTTCAGGGATCGATGGAATTTGGAGGTGTCAGAGGTAGAGAGGAGGCTTTTAGGGTCTGGGGTAGCAACCGTAGAGAATCTCTGAGCAGGGATGCCAAAATAGGCAAGAGTATAATTGCTGTCCTCTATATGGACTCCATCCAAAGAGAGTGAAGGGACACCAGCCAAGCAAGGAGGTCCCAGGAGCCATATTTAGCAGGAGAAGGGGAGCCTCTGACTGTTGGTGGCTCTTGCTTTATCTCACACAGCAGTCTGTAACAGGTCCCCCCGGGTCCTGGAAGGCCCTGGCAAACATGTCCCCGTCATGGGGAATGCACAGGTGAAAAAAAAAAAAAAAGCCTGCAATCCTCATACATTTGCTCTTTTTACTTCTCATTAGCTGTATTGAATTATCTGGAGATTTACAATGATCTGTTCAGAATATTATGCATATATATATATATATTTTTTTTTTTTTTTTTACGGGACAAAGCAGGTACTAGTCAGGGGAGGGGCAGAGAGAGAGGGACAAGCAGACTCCCCACTGGGCAGGGAGCCCTACAAAGGGCTTGATCCCAGGACCCCGAGATCATGACCTGAGCCGAAGTCAGATACTTAACCAACGGAGCCACCCAGGCACCCCCAGAATATAATATTTTGTTCCTGAAATAGAGGAACTAGAAATTCATGATAGAAACTAGATATAATTTTTTCATAGAAACAATAGGATTATGATTCTAGCCAAGGTCTAACACAATATTTATAGAAATGATCAGAAATTGCATAGTAACCAATGTGTCAAGTGACAGATCTCCCCTGGCACAGTGGAGAGCTTTCTGAGATGTCTATAAATCAGTCAAGTAGGACAGTGCAGTAACCGATCCCAGTAAAGCTCCAAAAAATGTATGAGAGAGGTTCCCTGGGGCCAGGAGACAGAGAGCCCAGACGCTCAGTATGTCGGCGGGCTATTGTAGGGTAAACTGTCCAGGTCATCTGTGCTGAACCATGTCAGTCCACGGTTGACTGGAGACCCCAGCTGTCAGGCTTCCAGGCACCTTTATGAAATATTCTGTCCTCATCAAAGGGCTGTGGAACACTGGGTCATCTCTGGAATCACAAGAGGCCAAACTCAGAGGCCCAAAGCTATTTTTAAATTCTCCTCCCCCCCTTACCAGCCTCCCATACAACGTTGTCTTCGTGAAACCGGAAAACCAAAACCTCTGTAAAGAAAAGAAAGTTCAGTTGACACATTTTGGAGAAAAGAGACATGTGGCCACTGCTTTCTCTCTGTTGTGAATACCCCTTTTCCACTGAACTATCAGAACATCTGTGGGCTTTGTGCTCCCTGCCCTTGTCCCAGTGAGTTTTGCCATGAAGGGGGTTTAGGAAAGGAATCCCTGGCATTCTTCAGGTAAGAACAGCCTGTGGCTTGCATAGACCCAAGTTCCATCAGAGCCATATCCGGTGTCACGATGGTGCCTCATGCCATCGCAAAATCTCACAGGAGAAGAAAATAACATGAGATTATGGATTTCCTCAGCCCTTCCAGAACACACTGATAATAACACTGATGTATTTGGACGCGTGACTAGTACATGCTATGAGGAGGCACAAGCCGGGAGCGTGGGTCAGTTGTTAACACCTGTTCAAATGATGAGAATTATAGATGTATCATTTATAAAGCAGTTTTACGAGACCCTGATTTCTTTTAGACCCACTTTCCCCACACACAGGCCAATGGGCTCATGGGTTATGCTTGGTTCGCAGGAGGCTCATTTAGCAACTGCTCAGCCAAGCAAAGGAAACTTTGCTGCAGGTCTAGGAGGCTCTCAAGCCCAGACCAAGAGGAGACAGTACCCACTTCCACCGGGGCTGGTAAATGTTGAGATGGAGTCTGCTGTTTTCCCTGCAGTTCCCTGCTCAAGCCTGCAGGATCTTTGGGAACTTGTGGAGAGAGGGCCCTCCTGCTCTGTGGCCGGCAGATCTGAGAGGACAGAGTACCTGGAACCTGGAAGTTTCTCCCCTCATTGACTAGCAGGAAGGAGCGCCTAAGAAGCTCACCACCCCTCTCCCCAGCTGAACAGAATGACAGACACTTCTTCCTTTGGTTGTGATGGACTATGAGCAACAGCCGTTAGCAGGTGGGGGGCTGTGATACAAGCCCCTGAGAAATGCCACGGCTCCCAGGGAGATGCCCGCGCTCCCGGCCTCTGGGAGGGACAAGTGCTCGCGGCGTGTGAGCGGGAGGGCGCGGGCCCATGCTGCCCATGCGATTTGCAGCCCTTCCTGCAATCCTGGGCTGTCTGTCCTCAGAATTCGCACGTTGGCCGTTTTGATTGCAGCTGGTCCTTGAAATGAGAGGGGAGGAGGTAGAATGCCCAAGAATACCAAGAAAAGGGAAATCAGGCTCACAAGCTGGATGCTGAATGATTTTTAGGTCCCACACTGAGAGGCCAGGACCTTTGACTCTTCAGGCACAAATTAGAGCCCCCCCGTCAGAATGGTCTCAGTATCCTCCGCACCCCCAGACGCTTCTCATCTTAAGCACTGTCCACGCTTTGCTTCTTGCTCCAACCCTCTTGCAGGATGATAGAGGAACCGAGGCACGGGATTGGGGTGGTGCTGGGGAGAGAGGGGCAGGGCCAGCCATGCAGGTGGATCAGGGTGTTAGAAGCCATCCTGCTAGGGTTGGCACCCCCAACCACCCCCCTCCCCAGCTTAGCATGGTACATGCACCTTGAACCAGAGGGACTTCGCGGGGTCTCAACACAAGACAGCTCCGGAGCCAAGGAACTGTCTGTCCGCATGGGGACATCAGGGCAGAACCTCGTGCAGACTCGGGGGAGAACCAGCAGTTTGGGGCAGACACCTCCTGGTAGGTAAGTCCCGCTGGGAGAGGAGACAGCAGCTTTTGCTTCTGGTGAGGTGTGCCTTCCACTAAGGCTGCACAAGACCAGTCTTCAGCAGGAGGGGTCTGCAGGAGAGCCCCTCTCCCGCTTGCAGGAGGGAAACCTCGTGGCTTCGGAACCTTCCCTGTCCCTCCTGCAGTGGCTGAGTCCCCCTCGGCTCAAAGCTGTGGTGACACTCCCCGCCAGCATGCGGGACCTGGGCATTGTGACCTCAGCTGTTCTGCACACAGAGAGGTGGTCATCCTGCCCTTACCTTGGCATGTAATCTGCATAGGACAGTGGCCTGGTCACAGGGGCCCATTGTGGGGAGGTTGGGAAGTTAAAGAACACTCTGGTCTCCTCCATCATGTCGGCCAAGAAGGCAGAACTGAAGAAAACGAGCCTGGTAAAGGAGAAACTGCTGGACAATGTGGGGCCTCTACGAGTTCCTGCTCTCCGGAGCTGTGGGGTGGAGATGGGGGTACAGAGAGCTCTCTGATGAATCCTCGGCTTTTCTTTCTCTGCTCTGAGCTCCAAGTGGCCTCTCAGCCAGGAAGGAGGGTGGGACTAATCCGTGGCCTGGGGGCGGGAAGGAAAGAGGCCTCTGCTGACTCCCTGTGGGACAAAGAACAATGTAATAGCCCCAGCACCTCTAGCCACTCCCGGAGCCACGTTCCCAGCTGGGCCCATGCCAGGCCCCATGGAAGGGCACGTCCATGGCACACAAGCACTGTGTTAGATGATACGATTCGTGCCCCTGATTTGCAGACGAGGAAATGGGGGCTCAGAGGGAGTAAATAAGCTCCTGGGTGGCACAGCCACAAGCAGCTGAGGTTAGGGTGTGAATCCATCTCTCTCCAAAGCCTGAGCTCCTGAAATAATACCCACACGGTTTCCATAAAGTTATCTCCAAGGGCTTTCCCTGCTCAGGCCCCCGGCAGGGAGAAGGAGGCCTGCTGACCGGGCAGGTGCGTGCTCATGAAAGGAAGATAAGCTGACAAGGTCTGGATTGGCTTGAATCCGGTCCTGGGGGGGGGGGGGGGGGGGGGGGGGGGGGGGGGGGGGGGGGGGGGGGGGGGGGGGGGCCCTCTCGAGAGGGCTAGTGTGATCCCCGCCCCCAAGTCCTGATGCCTGACAGACGGCGGACTGCCAACGTCCTCCCTCCACAGAACAAGAACTATAAGGCAGGGTGCCTGGAAATGAAGCCAGAGCCGACCAAAGTAAGAAGCTTTTTTGAGGCCATGCCGGCAGCCAGGCCTGAGACCCGTGGGGAGGTGACCTGGAGTCAGGGGTCATTCGCTGTTCCTGGTGGCCAAGACCTGTCCCAGGTGCTGGGGGATACACGAGAGAGAGACAAGCTCTCAGCTCTCACCGAACTTCACACTAGTAACTAATGTGATACAGAATAAATAAGGAAAACTCAGTAGTGTCACCTGCTAGGCAGAGAATTAAAATAGGGAGGTAGGGCCCTGGGCTTAGCACGAAGGCTGAGGAAGGGCGCTGTGGGGGGAGGAAGGAGCGCATGCAAAGTCCCTGAGGCAGGAGTGGGCTTGGCTGTTCAGGGGGCCAGGAGGGCAGTGGCGTGATGAGGGGATGAGCTCCAGGGAGAGGAGAAGGTGACGGGAACTGCTTCCTAGGCGGGGCCACCAGCTCTCACCTCCACCCCAGCCCTAAAGGAGGAACGGAACCTCAGGGGGATCTCTCCTGCCTCAATCACCCCACACCTGCGATTTCCAATGTTCTGTGTTTCTGCTTCCCACCAACAGACATATGACTACAAAGCAGTAAAACAAGAAGGGCCGTTTACCAAACCAGGAGGGACGCACGAGCTAAGGGTAGGTGTGCCAGCCCAGGGGGCGGGGTCGGCAGGGCACAGTCGAGATGTGGGCCCCCACCCACGGCTGGGGCAGGTCCCCTGCTGGCGTCTGGGGCTCTGCCCCAGGACCCATGGCTTTACTCCCTCCACCGCTTTTTGTTTTGTTTTAACTCTGTATTTTGAACTAATTTCAGACTTACGGAAAATTTTCAAAAAATTGGGCAATGAATTCTAGTCTACCTTTCACTCAGATTTCCCAAATGTTGACATTTGATCAGGGTTCTCTCTCTCTCTCCCTCTCTCTCTCTCTTTATATATATATACACATTCACACACATACATATGTATAATATAGGTTTCCTGAATCATCTGAGAGCATGTTTCTCTCAAATTTCAGTGTCTACTGTCTAAAAACAAGAACAATCTCTTACATAACCACAGTACAGTTATCAAAATATCAAAGTCAGGACATGAACACTGATTCAGTACTTAGTCTATTTGTACCAATTGTTCCACTAAGGTCTTTCCTAACAAGAAAAAACAACTGTTTTGATGTGGGATCCACCCCAGGCCCACACATGGTCTCTAGGTTCCATGTCCCTTCAGCTTCCTTCCATCTGGAATAGCCCGTGAACCTTTGTTTTTTGGGGACATTTCATTTATGAGGATTATAGGTCATTTATTTTGCAGACTGACCCTTCATTTGGGTGGTCTGATGCTCCCCGGTGATCAGACTTGGCTGCCCATTTTTGGGGGTCACATCATGGAAAAAAGGCGTGCCCTTCAGTGCATCTTACTGGGTGGCACATGATGTCCCCATGTCCCACCCTCCCATTTTCTTAACCGCATCCTTTCCTTCCCCCCTAGCAGGAGCCATCTCTCTGTTCCTCCTCATTTGCAATGCCCCAGGATCTTCCTTCCATCCAAGACATTTCCTTACTCCTTCTCTTCCCTGTTTTATTTCCCCAGAATGAACTCAGGGAGGTGAGGGAAGAGCTCAAGGAAAAAATGGACGAGATCAAACAGGTAACAGGGTGAGACTTTTCAGGACACGGAGGAAAAGGGTAGCACCCAGGAAAATGCAGTGCTGAACTCTGAATAGTGAGGGGAATCAGGAATTGCATGGAAAAAGCCTCAACCTAACTCAGCCTGATCTCCTCCAGCGTGTCGGTGCTGGGCAGCTTAGGATATCTAGTTCTTATTTGTTTGATGCTTAAACCCAGGTTTTGAATGCCAAGAACTCCCTAAGGGGTCACATTGAAGGTTGAGGAGATAGAACCTTAGTGACAGAGTGAGAGGGACTGATTGGGAAGTGGGGGCAGTCACAGACCAATTCCATTCTCCTTACCACACCCCCCCACCTTGAGCATGCTACAGAGAAGGAACTTTCTTGTTGCTTCTTGGATGGAACCACCTATGGCAAACTCATGAAGAGAAGGAGTGTATAAGCAAGGAGGTGTACGGGAAGCTGTGGTCTGAGTTCTGAGCTCCACTTGGAAGCGTCGAAGTAGCTGGATCTAAGCCCCGCCAAGGCTGGTGGGGGGTGGGAGGCTTCATGCTACATGCATCTTCATCCCTTCGTAGACTCTGTGGCAAGAAAAGGGCTTGGATAGGCCACGACATGTCCATTCCTTGAGCTTTATCCAGCTTATTCCAGAGGATCAGCTGCTGCCCTTTTTAAAATGCCACTGAGACGGCTCCAAAGTCATAATATGTGCTGTGCCTTTCTTCTTCGATAGATAAAGGGCATAATGGACAAGGATTTTGATAAACTCCAGGAATTCGTGGAGATTATGAAGGTGAGCATTTACTGAGCGCTTTCCATGGGCGGGCACCATGCTAGAAAATACAGAAGGGGACGCTAGACCCCGCACTGTAGCCACTTACAGTCTAGTAGGAAGACCCAAACTCTATGGAAAGAAGGAAATAGCAAGTACCAACCTACATGATAATTGGAGTTAATTAGGAGTCTGGAGAAATAAGGAATGAATGTGGGCTGGGGTAACCAGACAAATCCTTACAAAGAAGGTGAATCTTAGGGTGAGCTTTGAAGGCTATGTTGGAAGCTTAATGCAAATCTAACCAAAAGCCCAATACGATTAGTTTTGAACTCAACAATTACTAAGAGGACCATCTAGACTCTAGAATAGTGGTTCTCAAACCTTGATGTGTGTTGGAATTTCCTGGAGCATAAATAAAGAAAATAGAGCCCAGGTCCTATTTGGAGGGGGCTTAGACCCTTGGATTTTTTTCACATTCCCCAGATGAAAATTTGAGAACCACTGATGTGGAAGCATAAATAGGCAAAGGCAGGTATCTTTAAATTTTGAAGAGTTATAAAGGCGCCAGATATATAAAATTCATACAAAGCCACAATAATCTTGTCTAGATAACTAGCCAAATGAACAAAACCAGTGTAGATAACCCTGTAACAACCTCTCCACCAGGGAGGGATACCTGGGAGGATTTAAAAAATCAGTATACCCAGTCCCTGGCCCAGATGGACTGAATAAAAATCTCCAGGGTGGGCCACAGTTGCTTAAAACTCTCAAAGCGATTCTGATGCTTTCCCCTGGATAACAACCAGATCCTAAACACTTTAGCAGTAGCTATTAACCTTGGCTGCACAGCGCAATCACCTGTACTGTGGCTTTGACCTTCTACCCAGGCTGCACCCCAGAACAACAAAATCCGAGCCTCTTGAGATGAGGTCCAGGCATCACTATGTTTAAAGATCACCAGGTGATTCCATTGCACACTCAAGGTTGGGAACCGCAGTTCCATAAAATTTAAAAGATAATAAATATGATTTTTAAAATGTTAGTGAGAAGAAAAGGATTATGTATTCATATTAAGAACATTGCTGGATTATATGAAGATAAACTTAATTCAGTTAACATTGTAAAAACTGAAATAGTCCATAAAGTGAATTTAAATAATGAAAACCAATAAGAATAAATTATATATAAATATTTAACTGGATGGTCTAAATACAACAGAAGAAATCACAAAGGAAATATTGATATATTTAACAATATAAAAATTTAAAAATCGTAACAGGAAGTTACCATAAACAAAATTAAAAAGCAAACAACAGTTTGGGGGAAATAATTTTCTACAAATACAATAAACATCTATAAAAGTTTTTTATCTGTAACATATAAAGCTCACACAAATCAATAAGAACCAAATAGGAAAATGGGCAAAGGGTATGAACAAACCACAAAAGAGAATACAACTAAAAAGCAATACATATATTTAAAATGTTTACCTCGTGCATAATCAATTAAATGCCAAATGAAAACAATTCTTAGGTCATTGTCACATTCAACTAAGTGAACTTTTTAAGATTTTAATTACTTATGTATTTGAGAGAGAGAGCGTGGGTGTACAACAGTGGGGGGGAGGGCACGGAGAGAGAGGGAGAGAGGGATTCCCAAGCAGACTCCCCGCTGAGCGTGGAGCATGACACAGGGTTCCAGCCCAGGACCCTGAGATCATGACTGGAGCTAAAATCAAGAGTCAGACACTTAACCGACTGAGCCACCCAGGCAACCAAATAAGCGAAATTTATGACAATTAGAGAACCAATGCAGAAATGCTCTTATACTGCTGATCGGAGTGTAGGTTAGTACAACATTGGAAGGGAATTAGATAATAGGTATCAAAAAAGATCAAACCCCTTGACTTATTAATTCCTCTTCTCACAATTTAACCTGTGAGAATAATCAGAAATACTAGCATGGGTATATGTAAAAAGATGTTCATCACAGGATTATTTCTAATAGCAAAACTTTGGAAACCACGGTTTTCAACAGTAGAAGAATAGCCAAATAAATTAGGGTATATCCATAGAATGAAAACTAGGAACTATTGGAAACAGTGTTTAGAAAGAATTCTTACAGGTGCACCTGGCTGGCTCAGTCGGCAGAGCACGTGACTCTCAATCTCAGAGTTATGAGTTTGAGCCTCATGTTGGGCATCGAGCCTACTTTTAAAAAAAATAATAATAAGAGCAATGACATGGTTCAGTTAGATGTTAACGTTAAGGGGAAACTGAGTAAAAGGCATATGGGAACTCTTTGTACTGTCTTTGCAACTCTCCATAGATCCCAAATTATTTCAAAATAAAAACCTTATTTAAAAAAATAGAATGCTTATAATGAGACGTAAAAAAGCAAGATATAAGTAATCTATACAGGCTGATCTCAGTTAAGTGAAAAAAAAAAACAACTAAGTAAATATTTAGAAAAAAAGACTAGAAAGTAATATACCAAAAGGGTTAATAGCCATTATTGCTAGGTGATGAGATTAATTTGTTCTTTTATATTCCTCTGTATTGTCCAAATTTTCTGCAAAGGGCGTGTATTATTTCTATATTAAGATGCAAACACAGTGTTTTGTTAGTGGGCAGGACTGGGGATTAAAAGGCACAAAGGAGGCTATTCTGGGCACAGGAACAGCTTGCGCACAGCATGGAAGCAGGACGAACGTGAAGTGTATCACGGTCAGTGGGGAGATCAGTCATACAATTGGGATCATCTGGGGAAACTGTAAGAAATAAAATAGAATGGGCACAAAGGCAGTAGATAATGAAGGCTTTTGAAAGACAGGCAGACAGGTTGGGACTTGGTTGTGTAAATAGTAAGAGACCTCTGGAGATTCTTAATCAAAGAACATGCTAGAGGCAGCACTTCAGAAAGGCTGAGCGGGCAGCTGTTTGCAAGGTGGCCTGGGCAGGGCGGGCGGGAGAGCAGGGGTGGGGGCTGTCTGGAGCAAGATATCAGGCAGGAAGCCACTTCCCCACTCAAGATGAGGGACGCTGGACCAGGTGTGGGAACAGAAGGAAAACAGTAAATCTGAAAGATGCATCGAAGGAAAAATAATATTCTTGGTGACTGATGCAACAGAGAATGAAGGAGAAGCAAGCGTCCATGACCCCAAAGGCAATCCGGACAGGTAGAAGAAAGAGGTGACCATGACAAGGACAGGTGGCAAAGAGCTGATTTAGAAGAGGAAACAAGGAGATCACTTTGGGACATGAGTTTGAAGTAATAGTGAGACTTCTAAGAATGGGGGACATTTTTGACTCTGATAATTTGAACCCAGGGCGCATTTCCACTTCAAGGATATTTTCGCTGTATTTACAAGTACAGCTACTTTATTCAAAATGTATAGCACTTAAAGATGCTTTTCAAGAAGGTATTTTCGAAGTCCTCTCCACCCAGACAGTATGATTCCTTGATCAGTTTTCTACCACAGATCAGTGAAGTCTTGCCAAATCTTCCATTTTTTTATTAAAATTATGTTTTGAAGCAAATTATATTTCATTTATATTTTATAATGGTCAAGCCAACCCTGTGTTTGTCCATAACAGATACAATCGGTGATGACATCTGCCATCTTAGACATTCTCCTGTGACCACTGTTTCCATGCCAAGTTTTCCAGATCCAATTTCCCAGATCTAAACTTGCCAAGAGGATTTTACTCTTCTTTCAGTTCTTAGTAAATGATAAATGTGAGGTGCCATTTGAGCTACTATTTCTTTTATGTTGACCATTTCTGCCAGAAATCTGGTTAAAGAAGAAGCAAATGTACATGTGCAGGTTCTGGGTGCAGGGGTCAAAACATTGGAGTCAAAAGTGTCTTTGAGGGGTGGGTCACAAGATTTACTTTCTCAGCTCCATCATTTTATAGGCATGGAGCCAAAGCAGATAATGGTCTCATCCAAGTGTGGGATCAGGGAAAAAGACTTCCTGTGCTCTGACTCCTCTGTAGACTTTGGAGGAGCCCCTGATGACCCTGCCTGTGCTTTGGCCTCATCATGGAATGGGGGAGGTGCAGGGAAGAGGAGGCACGTATCCCCCAAGGCCAGTGAGGATTCTTGAGGAAGGAGGATGCTGAGGTCATCTCTGAGTGGTTGGCAGAGAGACGCAAGAGAAGAGCATTTCCAAAGCCCTTCAAGATGATCATTCTAGCTTTGAATTTTCTCTTGAAGGAAATGCAGAAGGATATGGATGAGAAGATGGATGTTTTAATAAATATACAGAAGAACAGCAAGCTGTAAGTGTAACCTGCACCCATCTCTCCTCATCCCTAAAGAATCTCCTCCCTTCACTTGGCTAAGTGTCCTCAGGTCTGTCTCAGACTCTTCACGGTCTTGTCTTGGTTTCTGTTACCCCAGTGGCTTGGGGTCAAGGTCTTCACTGGCCACCCACGCTATGGTTACCTCCTTGTCATGTTGGAAATTGTTTCCCCAACTCTGCCCCTCCCTGAATCCCCAGGCCCCTTAGAAGAGGGCCAAAGGAACAGCAGGAACTCAGGCTGGTAGGGAAAACAGACACAGACCCACAGCTCCGGCTCAAGAAGATGGAGGGAGCTGATGGAACACCACTTTCTCTTCACAAGAAGATGATGGCACTACAAAAACCAAAAAAGGGCCCTCTGGATTCCCTTCACCAATGCGGGCCATGCTGCGTAAGTGAAGCCTTACCTCCTCCTTACTCGTGCTACCCCCCAGTCACCTGCTGCTCCTTGACGCCCCCTCTCCCCCCGCACCGGGTCCTCCCGCTCCCTTACCTCTTGCAGTGAAGGGAGGGGTTCCACCCCTCTACTGGCCCTGGATGCCTCCCTAGCCGAAGCCCTCTCTGGGATCCTGCCCTCTAGGCCCGGGGAGATTCCGAAGCCATGCCCAAGTAATACCCAACCCTGGATGTGCCGGCTCCCAAGTACCACTGTATCATTCTGTCCTTTCCTATAGCAAGACCTGATGAGGTGCCCAGCAGGCTGGCCATCTTGGACCAGGGAAAAATGATCTTTCTTGTGCCGTTTCTGTCCTCTACAGGAAAAATGTTTGTTGTGTGCCCTAAAGAACAACTACAATCAGGGGTAGGTAGACCCCCATAAGAAGTCCTTGTCTCAGCTGGGTGCCCCATCATCCCAAAGGCAGTGGGCTCAGGCTGCATTTGTGTCACATCCCACCTGAGGTCGTGCAGACTCTGCCCCCCGCCCACCTCACCCACTCAGTCGTAGAGGACATGGCACCAGGCAGGAGGGCTTGGGGACCCCAGCCAGGAGACTGCTGCCCAGAGGCTCCCATGGAGGGGGTGAGGGGGGTACCTCGCTGGCCGCTGAGCTGACCTTGCCTCCTATTCCTGCCTCTCTCTCCCCCTCTAGCAGCAGAAAACTTCCATATCAGGCCTGGCCACCCTTTTCGTCCTTGGCTTCTGGAGCTGCTATCTGATTTATCTGTACTGCCAGCCCTGCGTGGTGGAGGACATGCTCCCAACCTAGCGCCGCCGCGGAACCCATCAGCAGCTCCAGCTTTTCCTCCCCCCGCCCCACACTTCGAGCTGCACGGCTAAGGCTTGTGGCCCTTGGACCTGCCACCCTGCCCCAGGCCTACCCCCACCCGGAGATTAAAATCTTTGTTTAAAGCCAAAGCAGGTATCACTGGTTTGACTATCAGCCCCAAACTTCAGTGTACAAAAGTGTCACTTTTTTTGTTGTTCTAGATCCCCATAGTTCAGACTCCCAAGTCCTCTTTCTGCTTCCTGCCAGATCAGTGGAAAATTCTGTCTTGGCCATTCTCAGGGTCATCCCCCTTCCCCTGCGACCCCCCTCCACTCTGCCTGGTTCTGCAAAGGTCTCCAAGGTCAAGAGAGGGGGGAGGCCCCAAGGATAACAGCTGCTTTTCTGTGTGGTTGCAGCAGAGACCCCATGGCCCTATGCACCTTCTCCCTCTGTGTTCTTAGTTCCTGCACTGTGTGCAGGGTGGCGAGACCCAAGAGTCTTGGGTGAGTGGGGGACCCCTGAGCCTGGGATCTAGCCTGCACTGCTTCCCTTGAGGTCTTGTCTTGGGGCAGAACTCAGGGCCCCATTGTTCCTAGGAACTCCATCCCCTTCGTGGGCTCTGGGGATCTACCCTCCCCACCCTCCTGATGGTTTCCTGTCCCCTGACCCAAAAGAGACATATCCCTTCAAAGGCCTTAGGCCTTTTCAAGAGTGGGGATGAGCCAGTGACCTCCAACTGCTCCACTCTATGTCCTGCCTAAATCCCCTAACTTGGCCACTAGCTTGAAATGAGAGCAAAGAAAGATACGGAGAAAACAGTATCTCAATAAATTCTTCTGTCATCTGTTTGATTCTTTGGGTTTAGTTTAATGGAGGAGGCATCAGTAGGATTCCATATTTTATTTCACACCAGCTTTCTTGTTTCATCTCTTTGCGAAGTTGGCTGCTTAGACTTTTAGCCAGTCTAGTGAATAATTGACCACGTTCTTAATGGCCACATAATAATGAGCCATGTATCGGGTTTCTTTCTTTTTTTTTTTTTTTAGGATTTTATTTATTTATTTGACAGAGAGAGAGAGAGAGAGAGATCACAAGTAGGCAGACAGGCAAGAAGGCAGAGGGAGAGGGAGAAGCAGGCTCCCTGCTGAGCACGGAGCCCAATGTGGGGCTCGATCCCAGAATGCCGGGATCGCGACCTGAGCTGAAGGCAGACATTTAACCGTCTGAGCCACCCAGGTGCCCCTTGGGTTTCTGATATACATTTAACAAACAAAACCCAAAACAAAACCTAGGCCTTGCCCTCAAGGAGCTTATAGCTTTAAAGGAAACATGGTAAACATGTTTATTAAAAATATGGACCATATACAAATAAGGACAATAATCATAGCATGTGATGAAAGCAAAAGGATTTAGAAATGGGAAAAAGAAGGGTGGGTGTAGATTGCTCACGTCCTATTGCTGCCATAACAGATTACCACACATTTAATGGCTTACGACAACACAAGCTGGGTCCAAAATGGGTCTCATGGGGCAAAAGTCAAGGTGTTGGCAGGCCTGCATTCCTTCTGGAGGCTCTAGGGGAGAATCTGTTTGTCTCTTTCAGCTTCTAGAGGCTGTGTCTGCATCCCTTGGCTTATGGCCCCTTCCATGGTCAAAGCCAGCATTGGCCAGCCAAGTCTCCCTCATTCTGCATCACTCTGACCCTGATTCTTCTTCCACCTCTTCTTTCCACTGGTAAGGTCCCTTGTGATTACCCTGGGCCCACCCGGTAAGCCAGCCTACTCCTACTTCAAGATCAGCTGATGAGCAACCTTGCTTCCCCTTGGCTATGTAATACAACATATTTGCAGGTTCTGGGGATTAGAACATGCACATCTTTGGGAGCTGTTATTCCGCCTACCACAGGGGACTCCCCAGACCCTGTCCCTGGACTTCCAAACCTTCAAACACTTGGGGACACCACATTGTGTAGTTCAAGGGTGTTGTAATAGACCCGCAAATCCTCCATACTCTTTCAAGAGGCGCTGTATTCCTCTCCTCTCAAGCGAGGGTGAGACACAGTGACCTGCTTCAAATGAGTAGAATATGGCAAAAGTGTGCCACCTCCAAGACTAAATCATAAACGACATGTGGCTTCATCTTGCTTTCTCTCAGATGCCCGGTCTGGATAAACCTCACTGCCATGTAGTGATGACACCCAAGTGGTCCTATGGAAAAGGCCACAAGGTGAGGCTCTGAAGCCACCCCCCAAGAGCCATGCGGGGTGTCATCTGGCAGCCCCTGCCAACATCTTGACTGCAACCTTCTGAGAAGCCCCTGAGCTGGATCTACCCAGCTAAGCTCCTTCCAAACTCCTGACCTGCAGAAACTGTGAAATGATAAATGCTTGTCGTTTTAAGTTGCTAGGTTTTGAGGTCATTTGTTATGCAGCAATAGATAAGACATGTTCATTTTTTTTAAAGACTTCAAAAATTGAGCCACAAAGTATGTGGTTATATGCAGAAATGTACAGTTTGATGAGTTTTTATATATGTATACCTCACTGACCTTATTCTAGAACATTTCTAAAACCTCTTTCCCACCCACACCTGCCCTGCTCCCCGGTTACCACTATTCTAGTTTCTATCCCGGTGTATTATTTTGCCTGTTTTTGAACTTGATACAGATGGAACCATATATGTATTTTTTGGTCTCATTTCTTTTGCTCAAAATTACATCTGTGTAATTCATGCATAGCAATTCATTGTGTGCATAGCAATTGTTTATTATTTTGTAATTGCTGTGCAGTTTGCCTTTTGTGAATACACCATCATTTATTTTTCCATTCTCTCATTGGTGGCCCAGATGATTCTTTAAACAGGCAAAGTAAAAGCAATTTTCCCTGTTGCCCTCTGTGCATTTGCCCGGTCTTTAAACACCTTCCCTGATCCCTGGTGCCCTGCAATTCACTTTATATCCCCCTTTTTCCCTCAACAAAAAATATTTATTAGACTGAAGAAAACATCAAGCCTGGGACCTAAGCCCTGACCTCTCACCAAAGCTTGGATATACCTGTCTGTCCAGGCCCCAGCCATTGTGTCAAACTCAGTCCAGACAAAATCAGATTCCCCACCTCTGCACCCAGATGCCTTCTCTGCCTCACTTCCCGACAGGGGTCTGTGTCCTTGCTCAGGGTCCTGGCAGTTGAGCCCCTGGCCTCTTCTCCCAAAGCCCCTTTGGTTATTTCAGGATTTCTGAGGATGTGGGTGAAGTACCTATTATAGGCTGGCAATGGGATGCTCCTTCCTCTTTACCCTGCTCTCTATCACTTCCTCCATGACATATCTCTGATGGCTCTCAGGACTTTACTGGAAGAGCTGAGGATAAGAGTGAGGGTTGCTCAAGGGCAGAGGCCACACAGCATCTGTCTGTTACCCACCAGCCCTGCCCCTTGACGGATGTGTGGGTGTGTGGCTAGCATTCCCAAATTTCTAACACGGGTACCACTTAAAGTTTTACACTTTCTCTCCCTCCCTCCCTCCCATAGCAATGAGCTACCAGTTCCCAAGCAATCTTTATAACATTCCCAATGTCCATTCCCAGTCCTCCTATTCCCATACCTACTCTAATCCAGGCTCTTAGCATCTGGATCCTAAACCACTTAGAGTAGCTTCCGACCCACTTCCCTTGGCTCCAGGAGTTTCTTCCAACCTAAATTCATTCTGTGCAACCCACTTCCAGATATTTGGTCCTTCACTACTGCTTTCTACTCCAACACTGTCCCTTGGTCAAAACCTCCAGTGCCCATTCCTCATGGGATGACGTCCAAACTCCCCAACACACTGTTCAAGACCTTGCACTTCTGATCTGATCTTAGACGTCTGAAGTTTTCTGCCCCTCTTCCTATTGGTAAGCCTACGCTCCAGGGTCCCACATGTGCCCTGCACATGCCCCCACCCTTGTCTTTGCTCGCCTCATCCTCCTGCCTCCACAAAGCCCCCATCGTCCCTGCTGGACTGCCCTCAGCCCCCACACAGATCCTCAAGGACTCATGACCAAGCTGCTCAGCCATTCAGAGATATTTTCCACCTCCTTACTAGCTCCAGCCTGCATATGTCTTTCCTCCCCATGCAGCTGGTCAGTGTCTAGAACCAGGGCTTCCGTTGTCTTCCTCATCCTCAACATGGACAGCAGAGCCCTGCACTTGGCAGGTTCTTAGGAAATGTTTGTTGCAGGGCGCCTGGGTGGCTCAGTCGTTAAGCGTCTGCCTTCGGCTCAGGTCATGATCCCGGGGTCCTGGGATCGAGCCCCACATCGGGCTCCCTGCTCCATGGGAAGCCTGCTTCTCCCTCTCCCACTCCTCCTGTTTGTGTTCCCGCTCTCGCTGTGTCTCTCTCTCTCTCTCTCTCTGTCAAATACATAAATAAAATCTTTAAAAAAAAAAAGGAAATGTTTGTTGCCTGAACTTTCACTGCATAGACTGAGCTGGCTCTCTTGGCCCCCCTCCAGGACTTGTGGCCTTGGCACTGTGCCCCAAGGGTCCCACACTGCCAGCAGGGGTCTACTCCCACACGGATCCCTCCAAGACTGAGCGGGCTCGGGGCAGGTGCGGAGAAAACTCTTTGGACTACCCAGATTTCCATCCCAGATTATGTCTGGCCATCTCCTTAGGTGACTGTGCCCTGTGTTCAGATTGGCTCATGGGATGAGTGAGGAAGGTTCCCTCTCTTTGAGATTTGATTTTGTGGCCAAATTCCCCTCAATGTGTTTTCAAACCTGAGCAGATCTAACACAAGGTCATCAGGGAAGCCAAGCTGCCAGGATCAGCTGAATTTTTGTGCAAATGATCTGTGGTGCTGAACAAGCCCCGAGGACTGGTGGCAGTGGTCTCGGCAGTTCCTGTCCTCCGACTCTTCCCAGGCTCCCCTGTGCCCCGGTTCCCCATCATCCAATGCAGAGGCGGCAAAAGGACAGCAGGGTGTGCTGAGGGGACACGTTTGCCTGGCTGTCCAACAGCTGTCACGTCCACCCTTGGGAATGGACCTTCAGGGAGCCGAAGCCCATCACTGCTGCTGACTGCGCGCGTGCATCAGCTTTGCTGGTAAGCTTGTGCTTTCGCCGTAGGTCTCAATGTCACCTCATCTGGAGTGTAATTACACTTGGTCTCTTC